TATTAAGGATTTATTTTATAATAATTCTATTTTTATAATTATATAACTATTATATAAATATAAAATAAGATATTTATAATATATATAAGGGTAGTAAAAATCCCTCTTGATAATAATTAATTATTACTAAATTAATAGACTTAATATTTATAATAAATAAAAAACTATTAATAATATATTTAAATAAATATTTAAATATACACTTTAATAATATAAAAAATAATAATAGATAATAAAACTTTATTAAATAAATAGCTAATTAAATTAAATAAAACAAGAAAAAAATTAATAATAAGGAATTAGCTTAATATATTTAAAATAATAATATAATATCTTAATCTATTTATATTATAAGAAAATTTTATTTAAGAGAAAGTAAATAAATAAATATAAATTTATAACATTTAGATATAATGAAAATCTAAAATACCTAAAAGGATTACTTATTTAATAAATAATATCTAGCTATTATAATAATTAATTGAAAATATTAAATAAGATATTAAATAGTGGGTAGCTATTTTAGAAGAGGTAGGTTTAAATAATAAATATAATAGAGAAAAAGGTATTAAAGGATATAAACTTAGGTAATACGATAATAAAAATATATTTTAAAATAAGAATATTAAGAAAATATTATATTTAATAAATATTATTTAAAAAGCTATTAATATTTACTAAGTTATAATAAAATTGCTTAAGCTTAAAGAGATTATAAGCTAACTTATAAAATTTTAAAAAGATAATAAATAGATAATAAAAGCTAATAATAAAATATTTAAACCTTAATAAATTAGATAATTATTAAAAAATTATATTATATAAGGGGGGGAGATATTTAATTAGGGCTAATTAAAAATAATTAAGTTTTAATAAATTAAAATATTTTAAAAAGTTAAATAAAAAATCTAAAGAATTTAAAATATAAAAATAATAAAATAATTAATAATATTATTATTTATTAAATAATATTAGTAATAATATTTAGTGGGTTTAAAAAGGAGGAAATAAATATAAAAACTAAAGATAATAATAATATAATAGTGGAGGTTAAAATAAGGGCTAAAGCTAATATTAAATTAATATTATCTATAAGCTTTTTAAAAATAGGAAAATAGCTTATTAAATAATTTAATTTAAATCTAAAGTAGGAAATTATATTATAGTTTATTTATTAATATTTAAATTAATTTAAAGATAATAATAAAAGATATTAGGGAGAAATAGAGACAAATAGGGGGCTATTAATTATATTAATTCCTTAAGGGAGAAGATAATCAGGGTTGTGAATTAGTTACTACACTTGTAGTTTTAGTAACTAAGGTGTAGTTTTAGTCAATTTATATACTGACTAAAACTACACTAATTAAACTACAAACTATAAGTGTAGTTTGTAGTTTAGTCACTAGGCTGACTAAAACTACAATGTAGTTATTAAAAACTACACTTTAGTAATTACAAAAACTACAAAAATATTAAATAGGAAATTAAATTCCCTATTTTAGTAATAATAAATTAAAATTAAAATATTAAGTATTTTAACCTAAAATAGTAAATAGTATATATAAATAACTATATATATATATATATACTATTAAATATATATATTATATTAATATAAATATATATATATATATTTATATATTTAAATTTGTATATATTATTATATATATATATATTTATATATTTAAATTTGTATATATTATTATATATATATATAATTTAATATGTAGTTTTTATAGTTACTACATTTGTAGTTTTTAGTAACTACAAACTATATATAGTTTTTAAATAGGCTGACTAAAACTACAAGCTGTAGTTTTTAATTACTAAAAACTATATGTAGTTTCTAAATATAGTGACTAAAACTAAACTATAAATATAGTTACTAAACTAAAACTACAAACTACAAACTAATTTCACAACCCTGAAGATAATATAAGGAAATTAAGAATAATTAAAATATTAATAAAACTATTTATTATTAAAGGTATATTTTATTAATTATTAATTATAATAATATTAAATGTAATAATAATATAAATTAATAAAATAATTATTTATTTAATTTATAAATTCTCTAAAAATAGCTAGGCTAATAGTTAAAATAGTAAAAATAAGGAGGCTAAAATTAACTAAAGTAAATTATTAATAAGTTAATAATAATAAAATAATAAAAAAAGTAAATATTAATTATTAATAAGATTAATATATTAGGGGCTAGTATATTATATTAAATAAATAAAGAATTAGGCTAGCTATATAATAATATAAAGAAAGACTTTAATAATATATTAATAATATTATTTAATAAAGACTTTTAATAATTTTATTTAATATAAAAATAATTTATTATATTAATATTAAAAGATATTAATTGAAACTCTATAAATATATTTAAGCTAAAGTAATAATAAAAGTATATAAAGATATATTAATTATAAAAATAGTTTATAATTATAATTATATTAAATAAATAGGTTTAGGCTATAAGGGATTTCTAATTATAATAATTATTATATTAAGTATATAAAATATTTAAAATAAAAATTAAACCTATTATTAAAAGAATTATAAAATGCTATAGAAAATAGAATTAATAATAATATTATTATTAAATTAAAATTAATAAAATTTAAATATAAAGGCAATATTTACTTTTTATAAAGTATAGCTAATATTTTAGCTATTATTATATATCTTCCTATTTATATATAATTAAAAAGATAAATAGCTAATAAAAAATAATAATAATAATAATAAATTTAAAAAATAATAATATAATATTAATATTAATAATATTTATATATATCTAAAATATATTAATTATTATTAATTTAAATATATATTAAAATCTAAAATTAATAAATAAAATAAACTATATAAAAATAATAATTATTATTAATAAAGTATTTTTTAAATATATAATATGTAAAAAAAAAATATTTTATTTTAAATTATTTATAAAAATCATATTATTATTAAATATTATAAAGAAGATATAATTTATAAGCTTATTAAAAAAATTAATCCTATTAATATATATTAATATAATAATCATATATTAAAAAAAATAACTATAATAAAAATATAAAATATTATAATATAAACTATTATATATAATAGCCTTTATTTATATAAATTATAAAATATAAAGCTATATATTTAATATAATTAAGCTAAAGCTATAAAGTAATTAATTAATAATAATAAAAAATAGTAAAGTAGTAGCTAGCGCTTATAATCTTTATAGCTTATATATATAGTTATTATAGTGCTGGAGCTTAAAGGGCATTATACTACTATTAGAAGTATAGTATAAAGATATTATAAGTAATTGAATTCTATTAGTAATAATAGTGGCGGAGGAGAGATTATATACATTAAGCAATATTATAATATAGTGAGCAATGGAGTAATATAAAAGGTTAAATATATAGGAAAAAATAAAAAAAGGCAGAAAATATAATCTAAAATATAGAAAATTTAAAATATTTATAAAGATATATTCACTATTAAATAACTAATAGGGTTGAATGTAATAAGGGCTAAAGTGGGGATATTAAAATAAGGTTATAAGTATTAAGTAAGTAGCTCTATATAAAAAGTCAGATGATATTTATATGCGATTTATATACCGGAAGGCTGGAAAAAGCTAGTGGGGAGAGGCCCTAGAGGCGGGAGGCAGGTAGGGGCATATAATATATAAACCTTTTATTCCAAAAGATATAAAAAATAATATTAAATATTTTATAAAATTATTTAAAGAAATTATTAATAGTAAATTTAGTAAAAATAAAGAAAAAAAATCAAAATTATAAAAAATTAAATAAAATTAAAAATAATTTAAAATATAATAATTTAAAATATAATAATTTAAAAAATTAATTAATATTAATTAAGACTAATAAATAATCTTTTTTCTTTATAAAATCTTTTTTTTAATTATATAATAAAATAAATAAATTATATATTATATATATTAATTTATAATTATAAAATATAATTAAATATTTTTTAAAAAATTATAATAATTTTTTATATTTTTTAAATTAATATATTAATAAAAAATTATTTTATTTTATAATAAATAATTTAATTAAATTAAATATAATAAATAGTTTATTTTATTTATTTAATATTATTTTTATTATTATTATTATTATAATTAAAGATTTTTTTAAAATTAAATATAATTATTAATATATATAGAATATTAATATTAAAATAATAAAATAATTTTTAAAATAATTAATTTAATAATTATAATAATAATATTATATTATATATTATATTTATTTATAAATTTAATTAATTTTAAAATTTTAAATATTTTCTTTATAATTATTTTTATATAAATATTTTAAATATATTTTTTTAATTTTTTTATTAATTAAATTATTTTTATTATATTATTTTAAATAATTTTTATTATTAATTATAAATAAATATAAATTTTATAATAAATATTTATTATTTTATAAAATATTTTTTAAAAATTATATTTAAAATTTTTATTATTTTATTTATTTATTTTATTAAAAAATTTATATAAAAAATTAATTATTTAATTAAATTAATTTTTTTAATTAATATTATTTATAATTTATATATAAAGATTTATTAATTTATTAAATTATATTTTAATAATAAAATTATTTTTTTATTATTATTTTTAAAATTTAAATTTTTTTATTATTTTTTTTATTATTTTTATTTTAATTATTTTATTAAATATATTATAATTAATAATTTTTATTAAATAATAAAAAAACAAATTTAATAATATTTTTAAATATTATAAATTTATAAATATTTATTAAATTAATTATAAATATTAATATTTTAATTATAAATTAATTTATATATATTATATTAAATATTAAAAAAATATTAATATTTATATTATAATTTTATTAAAAAATAAAAAAAAATATTTATATTTTTAAATATATATAATATAAATAATATATTAACAAATAAGTCTTCTAGAGATCTCTCGCTCTGGGTGGGACTCGAACCCACAACCCTAAGGTTAAAAGCCTCATACGCTAACCAATTGCGCCACCAGAGCATCCTTTCAAGACATGTCTTGCTTCTGTTTGGGTGCTGCAGGGCCGAAACCTTTCGGCTTATAGAGCTGTCCTCCATGATCCTTTTTAAAGGAAGTAAGTAGCAAAAATGAACGCTCCGGGTGGGACTCGAACCCACAACCCTAAGGTTAAAAGCCTCATACGCTAACCAATTGCGCCACCGGAGCTTGCTTGATGTTGGCGGTTGACATAAATATCACTATGTAAGCTGCATCCTGTATCTCGTAACTCTCTCTGCCTCTCATGTCTCCATCTACCGATCACTTCCGCTCCAGCATGCAACTTTTACATCAACACAGCCTCTCCACACGGCACAGTTTGGACATACTCAACGTCTCTGAACACCCTCTGATCGCTATTTGGCCATCCCATTTGACATGTATACCGGTATCGTAAGCACTATCTCGAAGTGCAGTGCTACCATACATAATTCGAGGATGCAGTCAGATGACAACTCAGCGCAACATGTTCAACTCGATGCCCACTTCCGCGTATTCTTAGCCACGAGAGCCAAAAACATGTATTAAAACAGGGGGCACTAGAAATTGAGCCAAGCGAGATGGACATCTTCATAGGATACAAATAGAAAATTATAACGAGTAATTGGGTACACTAAGTCAACTTAATGTGTGAGGCAAGAAAAGATATATATTATTAGACAGCTACCCTAGATCCGTGCGTCACTGCGACTGGGCTGCAAAGCAACCTGCCTGGCCCTGCGGCGTAGTTCATAGGGGTGGGTGATCGCAAGAGTCACCTCCGGAACCGTATGTACTAGTCAGAGCACACGGAGGTAGATTGGACCCGTCGTCGCCAGCGTCACCATCTGCCGATTGAAGCTGGCCATTCATGAAAGTGAGGTGGAGAACCCGGGCACCGAGGCCGTGGGGAGTGGGGACGGGTTCGCCGTCCCGGTCTCCAGAGATGCCGGTCCAGCAGCGGATACTCAACTACACCGATCCCCTGACTAGATGTACACTCTTTCTGGCAAACCAGATTCCATATGCCAAATTCACCGTGGATAGAGTTGAAAATGGGTCGCAAAGGTGTGACAGTAGACTGTCCTGTTTGAAACAAGCTGGATGGGCGACCCGAGTTGGATCTGTTAAGTTAACTACGGCCCAGTGAGGAGGAGGGCAATTTTGTGTTGGCGGCTGTTTTTTTTTATTTTTCTTTATTAAAACTCAATCCTTTGCTAATCTCTCCCAGGGTTGGCACAGATGGCTATCTATTCACTCTATCTCTGCTACTGATCATTTTCTCTTCCATCCAAGAAACTGCAAGGATTATTGAGGGAAATTTGATTGTTTAGCCGCTTATTACATCGAAGGCCCCATTTCCACACTCGTACCGAGGACACATAATGACATGAGCTCCTTGACCTCACCTGGCGCATTATCTCGGACACGATTTCCAGCCGGGGCCCCTAGGACTTTCCACATGTGAAGAAAACAAGAGCTTCAAATACTAAATGATACGGAGGTGTAGAGGGTCATCCTGCTTTGAAGAAGCCTAGAACTAGAATAGTAGGAACTGGTTCCTTCTGTCGGCTTCACTCAATTGCAAAACTCAAGGATTGCGTGGGGTGATTTATGAGTGCCACTTTTCCGTTCCCCCCTGGCTTCGCCCTCATGGGACGTACTCGGTTTAAAGCATATTGCTAAGTCTAGGCGGCTTAACCAAATCGACATTCCCAATACATCTACTCCGTCCAGGTGACTCCGTACCTACTATATTTATTATCACTGAAATTTGCTGCTATCCTTCTCAGCTGTCCCACATCTCCAAATATCAGCATCCTCTAGCATTCTTCTTTCATGGCGACACTCAATTTGTTCCGGGCACTCCGAGTCCCTTATCCGGATTATGAATCTGGCTTCTGGGGAGAGCAGACGTCTACGCTCAATTTCTGTGAAGAGGTGAGGCGATCCAACCGCTTGTTTAACACAAAAGCGCGATATTTATTTTTCTAGGACTACGCACTCTCGTTCTATTGTGCCGAACTTTGCAATGTGAGGACTTTAGCGACGTTCCGGTCTGGCCGAGGTTGCTGACACCCCCCGAGACAGTGACCAATGCCCTTTTCGTTTGGCTTGGCGTGAAAGGTATCCTCAGCTGCATCAAGTATTCGCATCCGAATATCTTTTTGGTTGCCTTTATTGGTTACATCGTGGTTGGACTGGGCTCTATTTCCTTTCATGCCACACTAAAATGTAAAGAAAAAAAGCAGCCCCTATGAGTCGTCTTTGCGGGAACAAGCAGTTAACTTGTTGCGGCAGATCCTATGCAGCTTGTTGATGAATTATCCATGATATACACCACCTGTCTTATGATGTATGCGAGCTTCTCATTTTCGAAATCCAGAATCTTCTCGGTGTCATTAGGTATTGGCCTACTCGGACTGGCTGCGTTCATCACAGTTTGTCTACCTCCGGCAGAATCATCACAAGTATTGACGCTGACTATCTCGATAGCTTTACTACCATATAACCAAGGACCCTGCTTTCCACCAGACCGCCTATGCTATATTGACAGCTACCATCGTGTTTCGTAGCATGTGGGTGATGGAGTCACAACTTCGCCCTGCTCTGGAGGCACGCCAGGCTCGAAAGTCAGACGAGCTGCTCAAGACAATGTGGATAATGGTTATAACAGGTGTGTCCCCCTCGAAGAAAGCCACATTTTGGATATTTAAGCAGATGTTAATAGAGGACGAAAGGACTGTTGGTGTTCCTGGGAGGGTACCTGCTGTGGATCCTCGACAACACGTACTGTGCGCAGGTGAGGGGGATAAGACGTGCCATCGGGCTTCCATGGGCTGTGCTGTTGGAAGGCCATGCTTGGTGGCATTTGATGACTGGTCTCGGTAAGTGATCCCAGAGAACATTCAAATGAGTAAGACTAATGAGGTGTAAAGGAGGTAACTGAACTTGATTTTGAATTACCTGGTGATAACTCGCTAACGCAATCTTTCCTTCGCTTTTCCCACTTCTATAGCGTACTACTACATTATTTGGGGCATATGGCTCCGCCACTGTCTAACAGGCCACGATGATGAGTATGTGTTGGACTGGCCACGGCTGCTGACCTCGATTCCCGAAGTTCGACGGGAAAAGAAACGAGCCCAGAAGCAACAGTAAATTTCATTTGCTGCCTTCTATCGGCATGAGGGGAGATGGAGGCCTGCGGCGCAGAGTCCCGCGGTGCAAACCGGGATGTCCGGAGATTGATTTGCACGTGGATACACATTTTTGGTCCTCCCAAAACTCCTACGCTGTGTTGCGTGGGGCGCGAACACAACCGTGTGTCTGCAGAGCACTTACCCAGGTGAAAATTATTCCTCAACTGCTTAGTTTACATGACAGGCATGTTGCGTTGCATGGCGGATGGAATACTTGCATATCAGAAGAAATTGAGGTGCTGGGGACACCTGTACAATAGGAAAGGTTAGGGTCGGATATATCAACAGGGTAGGCCATTGTGATGAATTGAATGCTTATTCGTTCTACGTAAAATTCCAATTAGTAGATGGCTGAGTTTGAGATGGAAGGGTGGAAATAGTTTCGGGAATAGTTATGGGTAGTAGTTCGTCTACCAGCATATCTGTGTATTCGTATACCAGTCATGATATACATTTAATGGGGGTAATGGACGGAGTGGGGGCTACGGTTTGAATGCAGTAGCTTTGTTGCGCTGACTCTGTGAAGGCGCACACGAGGTGCAGCATCAAAGGCCAATACCCAAAAACCCGCCCCTCTCCCTTCGTCTCTCTTTTCCGACCCTGAGTTCTAGCACTCTGGTGGCGCCATGGCGATTCCGAACGAAGCTTTGCAGAAGGTATGGATGCGGACGTTGTCTGTTTTGCGATTTTTTTTGCCGGTGGAGGAGGTGATGCCAAGAAGTGATATCCATCCAGTAGCAGACCCCTTCTTCAGCAAGCTTGCCTGGTGCTGTGTGTTGTTGCATGTCAATTTCCTTGAGAGACCCAAAACGATCGGCGATAGTTTACTAACCACAATACGTAGCTGGTGCAAGAGATTGAGAGCCAAGCCATCGTTGCTCAGCAGCAGATTGGCCTGGCTCGGACGCAGATGACAGCTAAGCAACGCGAGCAGCGTCTGGTACGGCTCACACTCAGCGAGATGACTACTCTGCCCAGCGATGCGGTGGTGTACGAAGGTGTTGGGAAAATGTAAGTGGTTCCTGGCTATCGCTTCCTTCTAGCCTGATACAGCATCCATCACTCATTCCCCGTCAACTTCTTCGAGGTCCAACTAACATTATGCCCGTTGCGTGGTCCATTTTCAGGTTCGTCTCACTCCCGGTGGACTCTCTTCGCAAGAAACTCAACAGCCAGACGCAGAGTCTGGAAGGCGAGGTAGATAGGTTGAGCAAACGGTTGCTATATTTGGAGACCACAGAAAGAAATAGCCGCGAGCACATTGAGCAAATGCTACGCGCCAAGTAACCGACACCAACTAATCTCCCTTCATTTGGCTCCCTCCGAGCAATCGGTTTGTCTCCGTAGGGCTACTTCCAAGGAATTTCTCAGAGCCTAGATAGCCGCCGCTTGGGACCCTCGACATGTTTCGAGTACCGCCGAAGGGATTGCAAGCATTGCGTTGGCCTCTGGTGCGGCCTACTCTATCATGGACTGCGGTTGCTCCTGATGCTAGTATGGACTGATTCCCGCTTTGTAGCAATTTCTAGGCTGGTTACCGCCCAAGAGAGGGGGAGGGGGGAGGGGAGGGGGAATACACTGCAACCAACATGGCGGGTCCGCTCTCCCTAGTGCGTGTGTCATCTTCCTGGTGGCGATAGCCGGATGGGCTGGTGATGATAAATAAATGCCTGTACCTTAGATTACTGAGACGCTGAAAGGAATTGAGAAGAAATGTTGATCTATACCCAAGATTCATATTGAGCATATCGAGTTGATGTGGCTTTTCGTGACACTAGTAAGTATATATATATATATATT